AATCACAAGACCAATCACTAGTCTGTCACAAGCAACAGGATGACTAGCAACAAAGGAATACCTTTACACAGAGTTCACTTGAAAAGCTCAAGACTGGGCTTGAGACTGGATGACTCGTGATGGACTTGCATGGACTTGTGACTGGTCTTGTGACTGGACTTGTGAGAGTAGAGACATAATAGAACTTGACCTCTAGTAATCAGGGCACAACTCATAGCATTTGTCCATAGTTTTGTACAGTAAACCCAGGGAACAATTGCCAGTGACTAAGAATGTTAATCAAAATTAAGAATTGTTTGAAGGAAATGATTGTAACAAGAGTATTGTCATTTTTCTCTCATTCCAGAAATACATCTACTGTGGTTGTGCAACAGGAGGGGTTGTCAGTAAGTGACCGTTGCTTTCATCCTGGAAGTTCTTGTTTTCCTCTGAAGCAAAATCACTGATGTTTTTATTTGCTCGCTTCATTTAACGACCACTTTTACCAGGATTTCCGATTTCTTTTAGTAGACCCCCAGAATTCAGTTATTCCTTGTTTTCCCCTTCTGGCTCTAAAAAAAGGCCAGAAAAGAAAACACAAACGGAATGCGTTGATTTTCACCTCTATTCCATGTCAGTGATAGTCGTGCATGGCATGCATGTGTACAGCTCTTTCTCTGTAGTAGCCTTAAAAACAAGGCTGCCTTCATCTGCATGATCGTCAAAACGACTTGAAGATCCAGCACACCATGCGTACCAAGTACTGCAAAGCGCAGTGAACTGTCTGAACATGTACCTCGTGTGGGTGTGTGAGTCAGTTTGTGCTTGCTGCACTGCGCTGCACCATGCATCATGTCAGTCAGTGGTTCCCAATCGCAGTGGTTGTACAAATAGGAATATTGTCCCTAACAAGTCAGGAACCAACTACATCATGGTCGTGCTCGTATTAGGCTGGGCTGTTGATCGATGTCTACCAGTTCTGTGTTACAACCATACTGCAATGTAACCGTGCACAGTTTGGAGTTAAAAATTTCATAACATACATGTGCTTCATGCAACAGATTTCGTCAAATATGGTAAAATGTAGAATTTTAAATAGAACAGACAACTTAAAAGCCATCGAATCAAATGCGAAAAGTGGAACTGGACATGGTTGTAATGGAGAGCAAGCTGTAGTTATGCGTTCCTCTCACGATACTCAGATGCCCGCTTCGATGTCATTTGCCAGGATTATAAGTTCCGGTTTTTTTAGCAGGCCCTGTGGCATCTCAGTCCTACCTATGCTCCTGTCCAGTGCTTATGCACAGTTTCTGGTTAACTTGGGAAGAGCTGACTTGCTCTTTGAAAAGATTTACTCAGACATCACAAATATTTCATGGAAAGATGACAAGTGGTCAACAGAGAAAATTGGTCAGCGTCAAAAAACAAGGCATTCTCTACATCTCGTTATGATCAAACAGTTGGCTTTGCAAAGTTTGTCACATTGTTCTCAGTGGTTTGTTAAAGCTTGGAAGAATAGCTGCTAGAAAATCACACTAAGTTGGCACTTGAGCCCCACAGGCTTCTGATTGCTTGTGTGAATGTCTTTACAACTTGGCCAAACTGCTGTCCAGAGCAAATAGGCCTGTGCATTGATGACGTCATTACACATGTGTCCTTTCCTAAGGAGTGAAGTGTATGTGTAAACAAAGTGAGATACCGTCAGCACATAGGCCTGTGGAGGGGGACTTTGGAGTTATTGCTGTGTCTTTTTATTGAAATTTTGAGTATTGATCTCTCTCTAGTTTATGATGTCTTGACCGGGAAGATTGTGAGGAAGCTGGACGGTCATCGAGGATGTGTCCGCGACGTCTCATGGCATCCTTATGAAAATAACATCATCAGTTCATCGGTGAGAGACTGTAGTTTATGCAGTGGAAGATTCTTTTTTTTTTTTATTTATCCAATCTGTTTGACAGATTTAAAGGGCAGTGGAAACTAACCATTTTAGGGAGGTGATAAAAAATCGAAATGTGGGAATGGGATATTATAGCAAATTTTTAGGAAGAGAATCTTCTCTCATGGCATGAGAGAGAACGAGTGCAGTCCAGTGCAATAGAAATTTGGATACAGCATGTCATGGAAATTCAATCGTAAACAGACAGGAACAGTTGTTGAAAATGGCATGCTGAGGGACACTAAGAATGGTGATCCTCTGTTCAGACTGGAGTGCAGATTCCGTTGTGGGTTAATGGTGTGCTTGTAGGGCTGGAGAATTCACAGTGTTCTCTGATGATGAAAGAAGAGAAGTGCATAATTTGGTGGCTCTATCACACGTTTGATTGATTGGTTTGGTTTTTTTTTTAAGTGGGATGGAAGTCACGGTTTCTGGGAGTACAAACGAGATGGGCTTCGGGATTGGCAACACGACGACTTTCACGAGGATTCAGAGGATTCCAGCAACGACGAGGATGATATCTTCCATACCCTGCGGAAAGCACGCAGGGCGCGTCATTACCAACAGCCGACAGCAATCTCATGATGCAAAGGCTAATGCACTGTCAAAAGATTTGATTGTCAGAGGACTGTTTGTGAATCTAACCAACCTGTCTAGCAAATGCTTTCAAAGTCCAACCAATCACTACTGTAAGAAATGTCAAGTAATCAGGCCTTTTATGCAACAGTAACTTGAAAAGAAGTATCTCAGCTGTATACTTCAGTTAAACCTCGGCAGGAAGAAGCAGTAAGTGGCAAAGTGTCTTGTTTGGCAACGCATGCTCTATACCCCAACAAGCTTGACTCCAATCCTTAATCTGCAGGATTTACCCACATAATCTTGGGTTCACTTCACCAAACCCCAAGGCCATTAGCCCTCCATTAAAATGTCAGTATGATGGTTTGATTTGCCATCAAACTGTAATACAAACTGGCTTTGTTCCGAGTAGTTGTATCCACAGTCCATATCAAGGTCTTTATAAGTTTAGAAATTAGTTTGCTAAATTAGGTGAAATTTTAGACATTCGAGTTATTATTAGCCCGGCTCATTTCAATGGGACTCCTCGTGCTGTTGCTTCTTGTTTGTATTCAAACGGCAGTAATTTCCAGCACTAATATTATTTTCAAAAAGTTGACAGCATAATCAAAATAACTTTCTGTAAAGGTCTGTACTGTAGCAAAAGTTCAACTTTCTGGTGGTTATCTAAATCAAGTTAAAGTGACAAAGTAATGGAATGATAAGCGTGCAGTGTTTCATCAAATCAAATTTACATACATTTCAGTACAGGATGAGCAGTTGGGATATATATTGGTGTTGTGGCGTTCACTGCCTTTGACTTTTTTTTTTCCTTTAATCACAAGTTTTGTAGTGAATTATGTTCCCTCTGCACTAGGTCCAGTTCCAGCATTTATCAAAGATAAGTTAGACCAACTGATCATTGCCCTTGCCGAATGTAGAGGCCCACTCAAAGACACAACTTTGCTTCGTGCAGTTTTGTGCACATTCTGCCAAAAGTAATCCATGTACCCTTTATGTTTCAGGCACAAATGAGCACCCGCATTGTGTTGTGGCCATGTTAAATGAGACTGTTATTTTAAAGCTGGGTTGCAGGTGTGGATTTTGTTCCTCCCATATTCTTTGCCTATGAAAAGGTGTTTTCCCATGGTAAGTTTTGCGGCAGTGTTATTTTTGCAGAGAGCACTGTACACCTCGTTTGGGACTCTGTTGACGGCGGAGCATGTCACCTTCTGTGGCAGATCTCTTACAAGTGATCACTCTCAAGTGATGTTTTTAAATTTTGATTATTTTGTGTGTATACATGTTTATGATCAATTGATCATGGTAGTGAGCAGACAAGTTGAAGGCTGCCTGTTTAACCCCACTGTTTTTTGCCAATCAATTACCTGACACCTGCTTTAGAAATCAATTTAGAAAGGCATCTTGAAAACTTCTTTGACTGTTGCATTTATTCCAGCATGAAGATACAGGCATGTACGCTTCAAATTAACATCAGAAGAATAATCCAATCTTTCAGTTGGTCTGAAGGAAATTATAGACATCAAAATTCCCTTGCAATTTTGAATAGAACCCTCCACCTGTCTTTATGAACAAACCTCCATGATTAAAACCTGCAATTGCATTGCAATCAGTACACTTTTATAAATAAGCCTAGATTATAATTGTTCTCTCCTTCATTGTAGGTAGATCAATGTAAAAGGTAGATCTATCTTGTTCCTTGTACAGTAACTTCTTGATTTTTATACATATAGTGACAAAATATTTCAGAACTATTTATGGCCAGATTTAACAAAATGAATCTTAAGGCCATAAGTTTGGTAATGCGGGCGTTTTACAATACTGCGCCTCCAAGAGTTTGCAATGCATTGGCCAATCACAGTGCGCAAAATCTGTGGACCCAATGCGCGTTTGGAAAATGTGGACAGATTTCGCACGTGATAGGCCAACACGTTGCAAACTCTTGGAGGTGTACTATTGTGAATCGCCCGTATTGTGTTTTCGTGTGAGGATGAGCAAAATGAGGGCTTTGTATTGATGTATCAACCATTTTAGCATCCTGTTGAAAATAGACAATATATGCATGAAAAATGTTGAGGGTTCTCATTGATTTATACAGTACAGGGATTCTCTTCAAGACCTTTCACTTAAAAGTTACTCAGAAGACTCATGACTCATTTTGTTAGGTTTGGTCACATTTAGACTATTTAATTGCATAGCCTGGATTTTGGAATCCAGACCAGGCCCCAATTTCAAGGAGTTGCTGAGCAGAGATTTCTGTGCTGAGCAAAAATGAGAGGAGAACCAGTCCCAAGTAACATAATTTAGATGGCGCTTGGCTGGTAATCTGCATTTTCTGTGCTTCACACAATTCTGTGCTTAGCAGCTCTTTGATATTGTTTCCTGATTTGCACAGACTGAAAGGAAAGAAATGGGTATTAGAACTACTGTGATATTGAACAGGCATTGTACACAGGTAACTCATTTATTGGAGGCCAGTGGACGTTGCTGGGTATTGTTCCAAAGACATTTAGAGCTTGTGTGCATTGAGACGAAATTTGTCTCAGCGACCTTGCAATGCATCTGACCCAGATTCTCTATGCACAAATGCAGTGTTCTAACTTCTACACCGGTCCTCATTCTCGGCTTGCCATCTGACATACGATGCACTATAATGGACCTCCTAAGTACGGATTTTACTGAGCACAGAGGATGTTGTAGTACGATCTGGTCACCAGCCAAATGCTACACTTTTTTGTTTTGTTTTTTTATTTTCTTTGCTCCGGGCATAAAGTTGTTTAGCAACATCTTCTGCCTCTGCAGCTCTATTAAATTGCAACAAGATAAGCACTAAAAGTTAGAATAATGCCAGATATTCTGTCATCCAGAAAGACAACTGTAGATTGTCAGTAATTAGGATGGGAACATCGTTTTCTCAGGACCGTCAACATTCAACAGGCATAAAGAACAATAAATTTCCAAATGGGTTTGATGCAAAAGTAAGTGAGTCGCAACATGTGATTACTGAACGATGTCTTTTCACTGTTAATTGTGTAATTAATTCCTCCACTCATTACTAGACCAGGGATGTTATATTTTAGAAACAAATTAACTTTGATTTCTAAGGAAAGCATGGAGTTAACTGACTACCCGTTTATACAAGTTTGGGAAATCTCTGTTATAAACGATCGACAAAAAGAACTTTAAAAGTTATAAATTATAAATAAAACACAGATATTTTTGTGAATGCTATACTTAAAAATCAGCTCGCTTACACTGGAATTTACTGTTTCATGCCAATGTTTACAACCTTTGGGCATTGTAGGTATGCTTGTTTCATGTATGAGTAAGGCAATTAATGGGACATTATTTTATGTGTCCACTTTATTATTTTATTTGAGCCCTTTTTCCCGGTACACAGGGCGTGAAACCGGAAGCAAACACAAATGGGTGATGTCACAGTCAATATTTGGTATGGAGCATCCGTCCGTGATACACCCTATCCATGCTCTAAAGCGTCCAGTATCTTATTTAAAAATAAAATACAAGTGGACTGGTGCGAATTCTGCACTAAAGAGGCAAGAGAATTAACGCCCAAAATATTCACGGTGTCCATTATAGTCAGAATTAACTCAGTTTGAGGAGTATTATACATATGCACTGGCTGCGAGGAGGGAGTCGGGTATGACCACGGAGTGGGGCGTTTAGTATCGACTAATAACATTGGAAACAGAGGACTCAAAATGCTCGTTTTATATCCAGAATTAACTGTTTGCCCAATTCATAAGTGGATGCCTCTGAAGGCCTGATATGTTTCGCCGGCCCTGTTGACAGGGATGCTCCCTGTAAATCATCACATGCGTTCACTAGTGGGCCTCAATGTCCGAGGGTAATGCGGGTTCTGTTTCACAGGTTATTGGGCTTGGTAGTGAATGGTTCTGTTCTTGGCTGACTGGTGCTTCGTTCGGCCCGGGAGTCGAGGCTCCTGGTGCTGTGCTATCTTGCGGTGACGGTGACTGACACTCAAGGCTTTGAGGCGATGCGCCGAAAGTGTTGAAGAATGCCGCTATGTCGATCTTGTGATAATCTTTAGCGTTTGTGACATTCCTGGTCGTTGGAGAGTTCGATGCTAGGTTGATGTTGGAGCAAGGCGGGAGGAAGTTCAGGTCGTTGCGCTTGGTGGTGAAGGCCAAGGTCGCAGGACGTTTGGCCTGGACTTGCCTGACGACCAGCCCGTGCGGTTCGCCCGACTGGAGGGGGCGCATGTACGTCCAGGCCGACTTGGCGCGGTAGTGAGCGCGGAGCGAGTCCACAGCCGAGTACACGAACCAGACATTCAGCATCCCGAAGAAGACTAAGCTCAGGAAGTAGCAAGACATGACCAGGATGTCCATGGTGAATGGCGAGGCCACGACGTACGAATAGGCCACGAACCCAGCGGGAAGCAGGACTCTGAAAACCAGGGCAGACAGTCCACTGAAGATGGAGCTGGTGCCGTGTGCCGGCCGGTGCGTCTCCACGTGTAGCTCCTTCAACAGGTGAGAGGTCTCGAAAAACGGCGCGGCTCCGGCAAAAAATAACCCCACCGTGCCTCCCAGTGCATTCTGTCTGAACTCCAAGAAGACGAGATAGACGACGGCCGCTACCAAATGATGCATGAAGGTGATGTAGTAGTTGGATAGGTGGCGCTGTAGCAGCGCATCCTGGACCAGGACATACATGTAACAGCCTATGTTAATGGCGAAGCAAACCCGGCCAGAAGCTGCAAGCCCGAGGAACGGTTTCTGTAGAACTTCACCTTGAAGTAGAAGAGCAACACCCGCCCAACAAAGGACTGTTGACTGAACGAGGATCAACAAACTGAAAAGGGAACAAACATGACAAAGACCATTAACTCAAGTCACAACTCCCCACAAAGCCAGATCATCAAAAATACTACTAAAAATTCTATCGAATGGATTACATCCAGGTTATTGCAGGTTTTCCCGGCAGATGTGATTTCGGTTTTTTTTTTTGCCAAGCTATGTGAGTGATGTGACGTTCAATTCCACGTTGCTTCCTAGGAGCCTTTCTTTTGTACTTTATTTTGATTTTGCACTTTCATTTTCATTTGCTGGTCCTGCAAATCTTCAAAAGGACACAATAACGAACACAGGACGAATTCTGCACACACCGAACACTTCCGGAGCGAAATCACTAAGAAGCGAGCAGTTATGGAATTTGCTGACGCTTTTTTGTGAAATCGCGTATTCAGTTATTTTACTAAGAAAATACTGTTAATGCAACTTTAATGGGTATTTCCTGGAACCGGATGCAACGTTCATAACAGGAAATCTCTTTTGAAACAAATGGAATGGGAAAAGTTGAAAATTGGCTGGGTAAAACCTTGTTTTGTTTTTCAACAAGAAAAATCCCATAAATAAAAGTACAACACGGCACTCACGTTATCAATTTTGATTCTCGTTTGCACCACGTGCCAAACGTTAAAGTGAGTCTCGATCAATTGAAACATTTGGAGTGAGAATGGACACCCATAATTTTGATTAACCTGCCACATGCTGATACCTATTTTGCTCGTTCTGCATCGTTTTGAATTAACTTTGGTGACTGTAAGAATGGGCATTTCAATGTTTCATAATTTCTTTCTGTGTGCTACGCCCCGAGAAGGGGAGTCTTGCTTTTAATGTCACAAATCAAAATCTATTTTAAGACCAATTTGGCTCTCGCAACAGTGATAATGCTTTCATTTGACTGCGTATTCGTCATCATTTGCTGCACTTTCATTTCTCCAAATGAGGTAGAAAACAACTCTGGAAAGCTCATAATGCACTTAGTCTCGTCAAAAGCGGCCATCAAAAACCAAACATTAGCCCCTGAAATTCCGCGAACACTGCATGCTCAGCTAGTCCTGGGTGTGACGACAGTTAACATTATGCACATTTCCCGCTTACAGATATCAGTTTATTATGCAAAGTAATATATCAACGCTCACATCCGTGACGGCATCCTGGAATTAAAAGCAGCCGGGTAATTACAGACCATGGCGTCATTTCCCTGATTGCAACACTTTTGTCAGCTATTGTCAATCCGGGAGACGTATATCCGCGTGCGAATCCCCCGGTGTCCCGGCGCTCAACTTGAAGAGCTTGCCAATTCAAGCGTGATCGACCGTAAAGACTTAACACTTTTTCTTAAAAGGGTATTATTTTTTTCCCCAGGAGACTTCCTTTTTTCACCAGAGCGTTGGAACTCTTGTTTGAGCTTAAAAAGTTCTCCATGGATACAACATATCAGTGAGTCCAGCCACTAAAAATCCAGTTCAAATGCGCGTCTGTATAACTCTAAAATAAACATATGATGTGAAAGAACGCCCCAGACACTTCATATTTTCACTTCTAAATTGTCATCAATTGTAAAAATACGTACTTCTTTGTTTTCCATTTTACTAAAAGTAAGAAAGCTCTTCCCGTGCATATTTCTGACGGATACCAGTCGTGTAAAATCCCGATGTACACTGCTGCCGCCATTTTGAATTTTTATAATAATCATTTCAGGATGTATACATTGTCTGAATGGGGTTTGGATCCTCCTGGAATAATCGGACGAACACCCCTTAAATGGACTGTCATCGTCAAAATTTCTTTTTTTCTACAATCTGTTTTTGCAACCATACTGGTAGTTTTTCGCGATCACTTTTTTCCAAATATTAAATTGGATACATTGGTTTAAAAATCCACTGTGTTAACCTTGCACAAACATTCTACGTGAGGGTCAACGAAACACTCGGGCCGTCTTAGGTGATCGGACGACTGTGTTTGAAAACGAAGTTGTGCTTTTGCTGCGGTTTGGTCGTTTTATTACCAAAATTGAAATAAGTGCGTGGATAGATAAAAAGAGAAAGACATGTATTTGTTTGACTTTGAATTAGCAACGACGGGACGGTGAATCATTTCAGTGCAGAATTCTTATCCTGCATGAGCCCTCCGGGTTCCTTGGAAAACACCAATCTCATCCTGCACTGGCAGTTTAAGTTTCCCCGTGGAAATGCGTATTTGAAGCAACTTGGAACAGAAAGCCCCAAGCTTGAACTGTACCTTGCACAGATGCATGAGGGTGGGTGGGTCAAACCATTGCCATTTTGGGGGGAGGCGGCATACGTTTAAACGTTGAAACCCCCCCCCCCCCTAAAAAGCATAAACCGTGTAGGGGTCTTTTATTGCGTGTACGGTTATGGACAAAACAAAGAGATGAAATGGCTTCACCAAAGGTTACAACTACATGTAATAACCCCCCCCAACATAAATATCTCACCCACTCCTAATAAACAAATCTTGGATCCACCCCTGTTTATGGTAATATACAGAAAAATATCATCAGCGTTCGCATAAAAATTACACATGAAAAATATGAGAAAAGTTTTGAGAATCATTGATTTGTTACTGAAGTCCTAATGGTTTCTGTAAAAAAAATTTCCTTTCGCACATAGGCCTACGTCAGCAAAAGTCTTTTTTCTCTGAAGAAATTAATCTAATAAAAAATAGTAACATTACATTTAAAAATTGTCAATTATGGTATGCTATTCTTTTAAAGAAAGGTAAAAACGGCGTTTAGGGTTTAGACACATTTTTGCACCCACTTTTTCAAACCTGACATGTTTACTGAAGCGTATTTAGGAATGTGTTGAATTTGTAATGCGTAACCAGTGTACACATTTCGCTCTGTGAAATCCGCTTAGCATTTTAAACACATTCCTATAAGTTTAATGTAAATGTTGAAACATGTTGCGGGTGAAACATGTTTAAACATAGTACAAACAAGTGCTTATAGAAATGTGTTCAAACTCTCGGTACCTTTTTATAGTGAGTTTAAAATTATTTTAAAGTCTGTAACCTACTGACATTTCTTTTCTCAGCGAGCCACCGAACATTTTTACTGGGCAAATGCTACGTGGGCCAATTGCTTTTCAGAGTTTCAAACATCGGGAAAAACTGTATGTTCTAAACCACTCCCATATCAGTCCTTCAAAACAAACTTGAATTCTTTTGTCTGCCAATTTTACCGCTTTTAGCTAGGGCATTAAAACTCTTCAAATTGTCTGGCGGACCTGAAAGACGTCGTTCGTTGAACTGTGACAACTGAATTTTAAAAAGAACAGTATTTTGTCACTTACAATCTGGCAAGAAACCACGGTTTCTCGTCTTGTAGAACAAACAGTAACCGTCGCCACGTTCCGTCCGGCTCTTCAGAGAACCTTCTGATCAGCCAGTCGGCCAATCCCCGCCAAGCGAAGAACAACGCCGTGCATAAGTTTACGGTGACGGAGATGCAGAACAAATCAATTGCCAAGTCTGCATCCATGGTGAAGTGAGTAAAGTGAAACCCCTGGAGAATTGTTGAGAACTTGACGGGAAAACCGTGTTCAGAAAACAACAATTTGAATACTGAGGTGCAATATGATTACATCCGCGTTGATGTTGTCAGTTCAACACTAAGTGTGGCAATTCTACTGAGATCGACTGACCATTGATTTCCTCATGAAGTTTTAGATCGGGTCTCTCATTGGCTATTATAGGATTTCCCACTGCCACAGGTCATCCATTACTATACATCACAGTACTCGTACGTACATATACGTGTGCGCACAACTAGTGCGACTTCTGTCGACCGTACTAAGTACTGCGTATACGAGCAAGATTTTATATGCCGTTTTCACTTCACGCTCGAGCGGGACTCAAGTGGGAAAATCCCTCGCTCCGTGTAATCCGTAAATAGCACGTGCCGTGCGTGGGCGCCCTTTTGTTCTGATGTCTATCTCATCGTTGTGATCGCGCAGGGAAGGTTGAGGGGATTCCCCGTACTTAGGAGCGTCTGGAAAAAAGCCTGGGACTTGAATCTAAATAAATTCTACGGTAAGCTAGGAAACTCGATGCATAAAGGGAGTCAATGGGGCCTCACCTCCTCATCCAGTAAGTCTATCCTGAAATGAGACTTCCACGTAGTCATGTACATGTACATGAAAACAAAACAAAGTCTGTCCTATAAAAAGAGGGGGAAACTATAAGCAACAAAACTGAAATTAACGAAACGATTGTTAAAACTACATGCCATCGGAGAAAAACCTAAAGATAACAAGAAAGCAGGTTAAAGAAACACCTGAAAGCAGTTTGATGTGTTTGCAAGCAGAAGGTTGGTCGTCGAATTCTGGAATGGTTCAGAAGTGCAGTGTTGACAACATCGTACGTTCTGTAAAATGACTTCCTCAAACTCTTAGTGACGGTCCCTTCTCTAGACGGTTTCTCTTTAACTGGGATGGAAACCAACAAGTTGAGAAGCTATTGGGAGGGGAGCGGGAAAAAAGCCTGTTTGCGTCATGGTGTAAAACTCCTGTTTATTTCTCTCCACAAAATTGTCAGTGAAAGATACACGACCGAACAGGCCAATTGACGTCAACAAAACCACACTACGTGTATTCTACGCGAGTTTTCTTCCTCTGTAGTAGCGTAATGAGGAATCGCTGCGTTGTAATTATGTCACTCAGAAGTTATTCCATCAAAGGCCCAGTCCACCACACCCACTATAACAATGACATTCTAGTAACAACTCCATCCGTAGTAGCCAAACTTCCCCTAAATTCTTTCATAATGGCCTCACTGAATTTTAATAGGAATTTTTGGGGAAGTCAAGTTCTCGTTTCCTTCCATGCACCATATAAGTCAGCCAACTTAGTCAGTCAACAACATAGGAACTTGTTTCCGTCAATTCAACCACTTAGCCAGACAAGAAAATGGTGCTTTTTTTGCGGGGGGAGGGTGCCGGAACTACTATGCCAAGCCTGTACACATAAAAAAGATTTCCCTGGTGCCAACCATTATTACCCTAAGCCCGAATACCACATATTATAAGCTTCGCTAGACGGGTTTTCATTTCCTAACTAGACAGAAAAATTGGTAAAATGCAAACCTGATTTCCCCATTCCACTGTCATTTAGGATAGCATGTTCCGTTAGTACATGCCAATGACCCGTTCACACCCCCCCCCTCTGCCATTGGTTTGGAACCCAATGCTGGGTGGGTGGTTTGTAAACAAACCAAACACCCAAATATACTTTACAAACAAAAAAGAAACACACATCTGAATCATCATTTAAATTAAATTACTAAAACATATCACTTTATCCTGTACACATTCAACACGACCAGACCAACAACAATAGAATTTATTAATTTTTGTTTTCATTCAAAATTATCACACTGTTACAAGTTAAAACTTTGTTAAAACTACACTGTTAAACTGAAGTAACGTTTGCTGTCCTCATAGAAGTAAAACGTCCAAACTGATATTGACCTCTTAGCCTCCCCAAATCAATGTAACATGGGTAAGCTAGGAATAACAAGAACCCATTACACTGTAAATTTGTTCCACCACATACACAGGGTTTTTATGTGTTTTACTACATTTTGTAGATCAGATTCTGACAAAAACATCTCTCAGGTGAACTTTGAATTTCTGATTTTAATTAAATAATAGGATAATATAAATTCAGCTATAAATTTGAGTGTTCTTCTTGGCCCTTTTTTGTGATGCATTTGTGATGTTTGCTGAAGGGCCTCACGGCTCTTCTGACTAATCCAAATAAAGGTCTTTCTCTCATTCATATCTCATGTATTTTAACCGCATACCCATGAGCTTGGAACCTTGAAAGATGAGAACTCGTGACTGGTATGTCACAGAATTTCAACAGCGAACTCCCTGTTTTTCAACAGATGTGGATAAAAATTACCAGTACTGCATACAAACTGGCATGCCATGGAATACATAATGCTAAAATGACAGTCATGGTATAAATACACTGGAATGACATTCAAAACAGGATTTGCGATGCATGATTCAAACCGAAGTGGGAACTGACACCCAAGCGACTTAATTTTAGTCTGTATTAAGCTTTAGGACTTTCCAAATTAATAGGTAGTGAGTACGGTCGTCACATCCCATATACAGCTACTGGATATGATTGGAGCAAAAAAATCCATGGGCTGACTTAAGTTGACAAAAATTTCCTGTTGATCCCTACACAAGGGTGAATCCAGAACCACACTTTTTTTGAGAGTCAAAAAGGAGGGGCATGAAAATTTGAATATTTCATGTAGCCTTTGATAAGTGCTTGGCCGGTCTTAAATGCACGTTTATCCCTGCTCATACATACCTTTTTTTAGTCAGAGTCAAAAGAAGTTAATATATAACAGATTTCCAATGATTTTGTTTAAGAATTTTACTTTCATTTTCCCAAACACCCATGTCCATTTTATTGTATATTCCTTGTACAAGATATCCAGAAGAACCTCCATATATGGACTTGGGGCGTGTGTGGCAAGTTCTGCATGCTGCGCTTCACACAGACTCTTGACCATTAGGGTTGGATTAAACTGTCAGAGGGTTCTTTATGTAGCGGTCATTATCATATGTTCATGTTATGTTTTGTTGAATAGGGAAACCGTCTGAGGTATTTGTGATTGTCTTTTAAAGGGGTGAGGCTACCTTTTGTGGTATTTTTATATGATTTTGGAAGAAAGGGAAATAAAATAAATCCCCTCGTGGCCTTTCTTACATAATTTATTCTTTTTCTTAAATGTTTGTTGGGGGATGGTCCCTGCTACCCCCCTCCCTTCGCCAGAGTTCCTACCCACAATGCAGCTGGGCAACTGAACCTAAACCCAGCTGGTGCAATTCATAACCCCACAGTCCAGAAAAACAAACCACCAGCCACTGAAACTTATATCTGGCAAGATATGGGACAGACCCTAGAGACACTCCAGACTATTGTTACCTAACACATCCCCCTTTGATGTCTGAAAAGAAATTCCTGAGGTTTGGTTAAATAATGACTATCACAAAGGGGGGGGGTCTCTCTGTCCCATATTTTGCATCAAATGTTGAGACTTCCTTTGACCAGAAATGAACACCTGTTTGCATGAACACTTATGTAAATGGAGCAGGTGCTGGTGTTATCAAGGGGCCTTGAGGGAGGACCATGGAAACCAGTCGTCAGTTCACATTAAACAAAGGAACATGACTCTGGTTCCAAATAAAAACCTGATGCAGTGTTTGTCTAGGCTGACTCTACCAGAAATCCTTAGTATAAAAAAAAGAAAAAATGACAAATATGAGAAGTGTGAACTTGTTTTCCACGTTCACATATTGTAACATTAGCACATTTGAAGGCAGTTAGTGCCAAACGATGCCAATTCCAAAACACAGTATCCTTTCCATCAGGACCACATAAACATCCGTGCATGCCTGTTGAGGTTAATATTTTCCCCACACACTTCCCGGGATATTTCTTTCAGGAAACCACTTACAGGCTTTTTATATTATCACCTGGTACTTGCATCATTCTTTTCTGGGACGGAGGTGGAAATTCTCAACCCATGCATCTGCTTCACTTCTTCGGCTAATACCTGCAGGAAAAAAATAATAAGGAAGTAATGCATTAAAAAAAGAATGAAACCCTGTTGTACATGTAGATGGGTACTAAAGTGCCACATCAACTAAAGTGGTTAAGTTTCATGGAAACGACCACTTTGATCATTTGATAACTATTCAAAGACATCTCAATGATTCAGGGGGTGCCAGCCAGATTTTTTGTCCAGAGCCTGAAATGCTTATCGTGCATGGTGCTTTATAAGAAAGTTACATGTATGTGTGAATTGCATCATGAAACAGTGGTTGGTTCGGCAATTTTGGTGGCAAATCATTTCTGAGTTGTCTGCAGTGATTAAAGTCATTCACATAAATATTAATAGCACTAGTTGAGTCACCTACTGGCTGCAGAAAATATGGAGGCGATGGACAATGTCACAATTGATTAGGTCCACTCTCAAAAAATAGTTTTGCTTCCTATAACATGGCATATGGCAACTGGTTAGGTAAGTAGGTAGGAATTTATTTTCACTCTTCAACTACAGATTAAAAACATGTAAAATAACATACAGAAGTCTGGAAGCATGAAATAAATAATACTTTAAAAGTACCAGTTGAGTGCAGTACATTCAAACTACAATAGACTATTTTTCCAATTTTACGTCTTCCCAAAATTTCCTCCACACATTCAGGATCACACCCTCAAAATAGGAAAAGTCTAGAAACAACCTAAATATGAGGCATGGTTTTTTTTTGGCCTTTTGTGGTCATGAAGATATGGATTATTTTAAGATTCCACATCTAGTGAAGCACACCATGAAAATGTATCTGTTTAAAAACGCTTAAATGATTCCTTAAAAAAGCAAGAATCAGGTTGAGGAATATGGATGACTTCAAAGTAGAACTTTAAACATTAGAAGATGTTAGAATGCAGGAAGGGTCCTTGTCAAAAATGCCTGGTGAGTCAGCATTGAGGAAATACAAAGCACAACAAAATGCAAAATATTTTTTAATATTTTTTTTGGGTGGGGGAACACGCCACTTGAAAATTTACATTCGGCAAATATTTGTTCAACGGACGATAAACGTTGACAGAGACATGTCCATGCAAACAGGTTGCACAAGGGGCCAGCTGCAGGTTCCTCTCGTGATTAAACAAACACAAATACAATGAAATGCGCTTAAAACGGGACAAGTCAGGGACTCACAAAGACTTGTCTGGGTGAAATCCCCTTTTGTCATTGAAACATTACTCTTAAAAAAAGACAAATAGCTGTACCGAAAATGAATCAGTACGGTGTGAAATAATACCAAAAGAGGAATCGGTTTGCTCTCTGTATTGATGTTATATATCAATTGTGGGAAAGTACATGTACATGTATGTGTAACTACTGATAGGAAAGTAAACAGTTAATATCAACAAAACGAGGACGGTATTATTTCCTTCTAGAACACCTATGTAACTTTGCTGGCCTCTGATTGGTCAATGAGGGGCAGTCACCTGATGTAGGGATACAGTTAGCTGATAATAGAAAACGAGAGGGAAAAACCCACATAAGAACTCAACAATGCATGTGATCATGCTAAACCAGGTGTGGTGAGCCTTTAATGGATATATCAATAGATGTCCCACACAATGCAGTGCACGCCAAGTGTGAACTCAGTTTCTGATAAAGCCCAAGGCACTATCACAACACTTTAAAAATTACAAATTTTACATCCTGGTGTAATATTTGTGGTTGTCATTTGTAACCAACCAGGGCCTAGTAGCTCACTAAACTATGTCAGATAATGATGATTTCCATCACCAAATGACAGGCACATTTTTTTGAGTAAACTCTCAGTGATTATCCACCTAGAATAAGATTCTCACACTAGAACACCAATCACGGCACCCAGTTTTCAAATACTAAGCTTTGTATTCTGCCTCTTTCTGTCACCCCTATCTCACATATGCCATGTTACAGCTTAAAAAAACATACAATGAATATGTAAAATCAAACGAAATCCCAGGAAATGTCATTAGAAAGAGTTAAAGGAAAACCACCCAAAAGGAAGAAATTTACATACACCTGTAAGTGGAACCTTTACAAACCATTCAGAAAAATAGCACTAATCTGCCACACAGGTTTTTATTAACTGAAGAATTAGGGAGAAACAGAATAGTGAAATTGAAATGAAAAAAGGCAGACCTGGGTGACCATGCGGTGCTGCTGTAGGGTTCTCTTGCCTGCAAAGTCGTCCGATTCAATGTTGACCTGGTACATTGCCCCACATCCACCTACACGTACATGTAGTTCAGAGACAAGATCAACAATATTCTCACCAAATGAGTCATGGCAAAAACAGCAACCACCAAAAGACAACGAGAACTCCTGACACGCTGTTAAACAAGGGATGGTTCCATCAGATGCTATTAAGCTGCTGTTCCGTGAGGAAATAAAAGATTTAAATCCTGACAATATTAATCATTGATTGTTTGACTATTGCTTCCTCTCTCCTCCCCAAAAAGCAAGCCTTCTCCAGAATGTTATTCAAGTCAGTCAGTGAGGTTACATGTAAGTTCATTCATTGCTGGATGAACCCCCCCCCAAGACACCTCCATTGTCCTCCATCTCATGCCACTCCCGCCCATAATGCTGCCCACTTATACTTTTTTTTTAACAATTATTATTTGTACATATAGTTGTGTTCAAAAATGGCACAGTGCCTCGTGACTCCCTGAGACACTTCCTTGACAGAATTATTCAGGGACTTTCCATTTTGGGTCACAGCTTCATTGATTGATTTCCAGGATGAAAAAAAACCTGTTTGTAGTACCTGGAATCTATACAAAGTGCACAATAATACATGTACTACAATCATTGGAGGCAGAACAACCACGAAAACCACGAAATCTGACAGCTAAATTGCCAATGCAAGCTACAAATAAAATGGCTCTCTACAGCTTTTGCATAACAATAACGGCTTAAAAGTAAAGAGACAGGCATTTATAAGTGTTTTTCTTTAAACTGCTCATATGATATAAAAGACCAAGGGTGGGAACTCAAGTCCTCTGATTTTTTTTGACAGTAATAACTATTGCGAAGTATACATGTTTAGAGCAAGTCATGAACAACTTGAATGAACTGAGTGCTTACATGTAAGTGACCAAAAATCGTGGCCAACAAAGAATACTTTTAAAACATTTTAAACCAAAGTAGGGGTGTTCCATATTTTTTCTTTTTAATCAAACTTGATTCAAATGTGCCTTTGCGAAATGAAAGTACGTAGCTTCTGCTTCAATTATGACAGCTAACAAAGATGGACCCCACAGATTCAACCAGAATTTCCAATAAACAGTAAATTGCATCAGACCACAACGGTCAGAACCAAGATAATAATCTGAGTCCATCTTTTAGGTTTTTGATATCCTTTTTTCACTCTACCTGATATGTCTTGAACTTGGATCAGCGTAGCTTTAGGAAACCTTGCTTCCAGAATACCCTTCAGTTTTTGCTCTCCCTCGGTTAATGTCAAATTATCTGACAGGCCTCGCCATCTTGACATCAAATTCTAAATAGCAAAAGACACAAATAGTGCATGGTTATGACTCATTGGCTTACACATATTAGTGACTGGGTCTGTCTGTAAGTATGTATACACCAAATGCCGACTTCTTAGACCCCTGTTTGTGTATGCGTTCAGTGTTTCTCTATGATTTCTTGAACCAGTTGTGCTCGAGGTGCTAGTAAGATCTAAATGGTAGGGGTGAAACGTATGATCTCTGACGTATCACAGTTGGTTCTGATACTATTTAATCAAAGGGGGACCATGGGGGCTCAGGCCTCCAGCAGGTCGCAACCAGTGTCCCCCATGGCCCTCCTTAGTTATGCCACTGGCGGGCATTTTGGTATATTCCTTTCAGGATTTACATTGTACGGTGGTTGCAACCCCACTTTTGAGATTTTATAGTCACTTTGCCCACAGCCACTTCGCCCATGTGCCACTTTGCCCACATGCCACTTCGCCAACACATTTCGCGTGGTAATAATGCATGCCCTAATTTCACAAGCAAGCCATTCTGTAATTAACCGACAAATCTCCGCATCCTTTTAACAGGTGTATTGTAACCAATACTTCGGATACAATAATCCAAACATCAGGACTCAGACACACTAAAAGCTTTTTCCAAAGCATGGTTTCCGTTACAACACTGAAATTTTGCAACAGCGTGCACTGAGACCTCATAAAAATGGGAAATACATAGATACAAGAAGACAACTCTTTTTTTGTAAACTCAATGAAATATTTATAAGGTTTTTTATCATTTCACGTCATTTTGGGGATTTTCAAAATTCGGGATGTACTGTATGTTGTCACAGGAGTGGCTCGTATTCCCAGCCATTGCATGCTGTTCTTGCTAATGTGTGCCCAGCCCACTTTCAGCTATGCATTGGTTTATACTGACATTTTCTAAATGCACTATATCCTTTAAATGCTATATGACCTTCATATCTTTCTTGGCATTCAGGGTGGATTCAGGAGTTGGGTAGTGTTTTTAATGTGTCTCTCTCTATTCAATTTTGGCAAAGACTGTGGGTGAAGTGATGCGTGGGCAAAGTGGCCTGTGGGCCATGTGGCAAATGGGCAAAGTGGCAAAATTAGCGAAGTGGTGGGTGGGAAATTGGCAAAGTGTTCGACACTGCTTTTGGAAAGAGTTCCATGGACAAAACTTGTGCATAAACCTAGATGGGACTTGTCTGGAAAAGTGTCTGCTAAGTAAATGCTAATTTTCTTAGCTAAAGTTCACTTTTAAGGACATGTTTTCACCTTCTGATGACTGTTGTAACATTTTAAGGGAAACTTAGTGTTGTTCTTACATGGAACTCCTTCCCTGCTTTTGAGTAAAAGTGTTTGTTATCGAACAGTGCAATTATGAATTTGTATTTGCAAGATAGAACTCCTACCAAGTGCAATTTTATTCCTTGAACAAATATCCTCCAAGATTAGTCTGAGAAACTAGGACTCAATAAATCATTTCGTTTAAAATTTGAACACGCTCAGTAATGTAGACTTATGTCGAAATGTTAAAAAAGGCAATATTCGTAGGCCTAGTACTGGAAATTTGTAATGCCAAGCCCACACTCAAACGTGACAAACCACAAAAAAAGAAAATTTAACATCTGGCACTGTAATAATTGTCAGTGCCAGTGGGCCTCACTTTTTTTTAGTGTCACTCTGCAGGAATTAGGCCTAGGCCTAATTTGAAATGATAAAAGGATAGTCTTGCAACCTTCCCGGGGGGAGATAACTCCTCAATATCCTGCTGCAGGTTTAGAGCCTGGGTCTGTTCTTATTTCTCCATGGTCTCCGGGTCTTGAGCCGCGCGCCGTAACAAATGACAACTTGGCCACGCGCTTTGGCCTTTGCAATCAAGCACACGGACTTGAGGGACATGACGGATCCTGCTCAGCAGGCATGTCAGGTAGGCATGGTAAGCTAAATGCCCAGGCTAAACGATGAAACTTGCAAAGGAATCCACCTACCAAGCGTCCGTAAATTCTTCGAAACATAATTACTCCCTCTACAGTGTATTGTTGGAGCGTCTTAATCAACTACGCAGCGACGATCTGACTGTCTCGTGCATTCGTCGTGGACGCCGCCATTTTGAATGGCTGATCCGGTTCGTGATTAGCCTTTGATCAAGGCGGACGCGGCGAAATGGATAGTCGCTTTAGGAGCTGGCTGGAGGAGAGTAGTTTAAAACCAACGCACGAAGAAAGACTACACGACGAACCGCGCGCCGTACGGCTAGGCTAATGCATATGCATATGGTGTACTATTTTATGGTGTACTATTTACGACAGCCAATTCTCTCTCTCTCTCTCTCTCTCTCTCTCTCTCTCTCTCTCTCTCTCTCTCTCTCTCTATTGCCTCCCTCCAGGCGACGCAACCAGACGGCGCGACGGGCGACGGCACGACGCACGATGCGACGCTTGTACAAAAGTAATGGCAAGAAGGCGACGGTTTGACCCGTCGTGTCGTGTAGTTGCGTCGCCTGGAGGGAGGCTCGGGGGAGAGAGAGAAATGTGTGTCGTAAAAAGTACACCATAGCTCCATTGAGTGAGGGCATGGCGCGTCCTATACATAATGTATGGCGCACTTATTTTTTATTTTTCCCTGATTATTTCAACAGTGAAAACAAACTGCACCGGACGTAATTTTTTTTTATTCCACGTATCTCTGCCTTTCTTAATCTTGACGGGGTCGCTATGTCATTCCGGTTTTAATTAAATCTTTTCCCACTTCCTCCATGGTTTACGCATCACCATTGGTTCACCGAAAGAAGATTCCAAAGAACCTTTTTCAAAAGTTGCCTAAAAGAAAGTAAACAATTACTAGGAAAACACGAAACAGTGAAAGTATATTGTAAATAATAGGTCACAGTTAATCACTCTTTTTTTTTCCTTTTTATTTCAACAAGAAAATCCCTGAGTTCGATGATCTTCAAAAAGCGCGTCACGTTTGGGAATCCGAGGCCCCGGGCCGATTTTATCTACATGTAGTTGGAGTTGATAAAATTTTAAGACCCTTAAATTATTCAAATGATATTATTCTTTTAAGATTTTCGGGTCAATATTTTCTGAATTTGAAGGTTATTAATTGACATGATTGAGATGCTGAGCAACTTCAAGTCCAGGGAGAAAGAACTACACACCAAATTAGAAGCTACATTGATGACACTGGGCATCCTCCGAGCGCACGAGCAGGTGACGCGTGGCGGCGTGCTACAAAGCCACCGTGAGACCGGACCCGTACCCTTTCGCAAATGATGCGGAAACTGATAGTCATTCAGTGGTAGGCCCACTGACCTGCTGGCGACGCAGCATCAATGAGGATCAAGTCATCGAGGCGCTGAAAGTGTCTTCCCAGCTGCGGTTAAAGACGTGTGTGCGTTTCTACATCATGTAAGTCCAATCATGGAGGTGTGATTCTACCTCCATGGTCCGATCTACATCATACATGTACTGCTGGACTATCATTGATCTCGTCATGATAGCTTGTACTAAATTGTAGGCAGAACTGTTCGTTGTCGGCAGCTGCCCCCCTCCCCGTGTATATATAGCCTAGGCCTGTAGGCCTAGCATTAGCCCCACAAATAGGGCTGTAGTGGCTCGCTTTTACAATCTGTCTCTTAAAAGAGTCTTATCTGTGTAAAAGAGAGCCACTACAGCCCGTGGGACTAGCCTAGCATGTACTGGTATAACGCGGGAGACGACGAACCCCTGTCAGACAGTTGAGTCAGGGGAAATTGGGGGTACTCTGTTATAGGATAGGAGCGCAGCAGACGAGGAACCAGAAACTCCAGGGTTTGCTGGAGGTGGATTGTGGGATAGGCCTAGTTATTTATAATCTGTGATTAAGCAATTACCAAGACCACCATGGATTTTTGTTCGGTGGTGTTTTGTCATGGTCAATCGTGCATGTGTATGCGCCACAGTGCTTGTGGATGATACATTTACATTGTCGGTTTCACTACGAAGTGACATATAGGATAGTTTTAGTGCACCATGAAATGATGTACCATTCATAGACTTTGTACACACTTCGTGGTGGAGCAACTATCCACATTACGTCACTTTGTGGTGCAACTGACAACATGTATGATGTAGATTGCCCGATTAAGTGTTAGGTGACGCAGATCTCATTCTCTTAACGAACAGTATCTTTTAATAAGCAGAAGACTGGAAAACGGAGCAATATCCATTCTTTTTATGTGCATCTTTATTCATAAAAAAAGTGCTTTAAAGGCTTATGTAGGAAGCATTTCTTGATACTGCGTCAATCCGCCTCAAGCAAAAGCACCCCCTCATCTGTTGAAAAGAATGCCTTGTAGCGATGCAACTGTGACACGTACGTTTCGTAGTTGTTCATGAACCAGCAAATTTCAGTTTCTACTAAAAGCGCTTCTGCTGAGAAAATGGCACCTTCCCTTGGTCCAGCTTGAGGCCAATAGAGACTCCATGTCTGCTTGCATATGTTATGCACACAAATTTTCTGAGCCACCGTAGAGGAAAAGAAATTGAACCACAAACAAAATCTTCTAAATCAAAGTGAAAGTAGGAGTCAAACATCAGCAAGGACAGGATAATTCCGGAAGGTAAGCGACCAATATTTATTTTGCTCAGGAAATGTGATTACTATCGCATTGATAGGGTAACCCATCCTTGCTATTAGATCAACTGATCATTCCAACTGACCAAATCCAACATGCTTAAGATAATATTCCTCTCTCAGTTGTCCTGACAACTAATTTCTTATACTTAAGATTAACAGATTTGAACGGGAAATTTCTCACTACTTCAGTTTGCGTTGATCAAAATTAATAAAGTGCATCATCACCTAAAGACAAATTTTTCAGCAGGGAGGGCCTTTCATATTTGATATTTGCACTGCGATGCTATTGCTATTGAGAAAAATGTCCAGGGGCTCACAAAGGTCAGACACAGTTCACACTATGACCTTGAAGCGTAACCAATGTGCAACCGTAGTGTGCAGTGCAAGACTACTGCTGCAACACAGTGAAAGACATAAGACCATTTTTTGTGGCACAGAGTACCACAAAATATCAAATATCCCCCAAAAAGAGATGGGGGGGGATTGGATGGACGATGATGATAAACAAGCATTTAATTTTGTCAGCCTTAAGCAAACTGAATTACATGTACATGTACCTCAACCATTCAGATTCTTTTCTTTGTAAAGATGACCATATTTTCAGCAGGATAGGGTCTGGTGAAACAATTTGAAATGTTGGTGGGCAGTGGGGCTGTTCTGAATATCTGAATAACTGAATATTTGATCGATTGTTGAATATTGAAATATTATTTTTCGAATTTGAATATTTGAATACAAAATTTATGAAATGGAAGGGGAAATTTTCTTTTGTTTTAAATGAGAAAAAATGCACTAGATGAAGGCTTGTTTCCAGCAGATTCAAATGAAAAGCATCAGAAATCTTACAATGATTTAAAAAGGAAATTATTCATTAGACAATTCAAAGGCAATAGACAGTTTTGACAGGGCTATAAGTCTTGTTCATCTCTTAAATTTTGCTAAATCATGGCTGGAGATACTGCTAGATGTGAGAAGCTATTATATTGATCATAATGTACAATTATGTGTGTTATTGCAACTGATTTTGTATAAGGTTTGTTCCTCAACAATCTGCTGGTCAGTACGACCGAATATTCAGATATTCGATCAAATTGAAGGTCGAACATTCAAATACTGAATTATTCAAATTGTCTCAGCCGTAGTGGGCATTGTGCACTTTTTTTGGGGGGGGGATGGAGAATTTTTTGGCCTGCCAGTATATTAGGTCACTCAAACTGTATTGTTGCCCCCAAAGGCAATTTATAGAGTCCTAGTTACTTGAACTGACAGCTAGTCAAGTCTCTCAGGCTGCCCCACTTTATTGAAATGTTCAAAAATGACAAAATTCAGGATAGCCACTTTTGAAGTAGCACCTTAATTTTTACTGAGGGCCTTGAAAAATGTAAGTAAACTTAGACCATAGAGGTGCCCAGACATTCACACAGACTTGGAGGAATTGGGGAAGGAACTGTCACAGCATCATGGATGACAGCAGCATCAAGAGAGAACTTTTGCTTGGCCAGACTACCTCCTGAACTGTACAGGGCTCATTGTTCTGCCTCTCTGAGGTGCAGATTGATGAGCCTCATAGTTTAAGGGATAGTTTGGCCATAGCTTGACTGATGTTGGACAACGTTGAGTGATCCTTGACAAAACTTAGAAGGCAGTATGTGCTAGTGCTGGCTTGTTAGTCTCAAATTAAAGCTGAGAAGGGACCATGTCGTTACAACTTTCTTTTTCTTATATTTACTAATTATTGCAGTTTTCTGTGCCATGCTTAGCCATATTGATCTTTGTAATTATGTGAAAGTGAGGAAGCTTGACTCCAATCAGCTACAATTAATTTAAATGCAGAACAAGAGCCATTACTACCAGTGACAGTATCCCTTGCAAACTTAGAGATGGATGTACGCAAGAGATTTACAGAGATTCATCAGCGGCTGCAAGAACTTGGTACAGCAGGGGACCAGTTAACCCAACTGCCGTCATTTAAGAAACTGCAGACCCTTAGCCAATCGAAGTCAACCTCCAGGATCGTCAGGATTGTCACTTTGGGATTCTTCTGGGCAGTGGTCCTGGCATTAGTCCTGGCCTACATTGCCATCATGCTGCTTGTGGTGGGCAGCAATTTTCTCGAAGACCCCCGCTTGGAGCAAGTCCACCGGAGCCTCAGCCAGGTCTGGATGGAAAGGGTCATGGATGCCAACATGGACACTGAGACATGCCTGATGGCTGTGCCAGAAACACTCCAAGACCTGTTCCGGCCGCCGGTGAACTGCAGCATCTGCCGGGATGTCGAAGAGATCAAGAAGCTGTCTGGCCTGACGCAGGAAGAGTTTGAGCGACTGTATGCCTACACAGCAAGGCCAGTTGTGGTCACGGATGGAATGGAACAGTGGACGGCACTACAGGTCCTCAGTTTTGATTTCTTCAAAGAGATTTACAGTGACAAGAGCCCTGTGCTTGAAAGTAACTCTCCCGACTGCCAGTTCTTCCCGTATAGAACAAATTTTGACAGCCTGAAGGAAGTTCTTGAGATGGCACCAGAGAGAGCAAATTTATCAGATGGTTCTGCTCCTTGGTACATCGGATGGTATGTCTGAGAAAAGAAAAATCCCTTTTTGATTTGAGTAAAATCTTACTTAACACCTAACAGACTGATGACCATGAGATCTAACCATTCAGGGCAGTCACAAAATAAACTTGCTATTGCAAATGGACATTTGCATGCAGTTTAAACACTTCCTGCCGGGGAGCCCGGTTTCTGGCACCGTGTGTTTTATATACACATGGCCGGGGTCTCCGAAATTGGACAAAGGGAACTGGGCCTTGTAATAAAAGACGGTACTCGGAACAAAAGACCAGGCTGCTGGGCATTACTGACATTTTTTCACTCTCAATAGTGGAGATAATCTAGCCTTGTTTTGAAACAGTACACCACGGTTTGGGGCATTTTGATTACCACTGGGGACAAATGCGCTCCACCACTGCAGCGATGAGCTACACAGCACCCCTGCATGCTAATCTGGCCCCTATTTAAAAGAGGTCAGCAGCGCACTGTGCCAGGTTCGTGAACAAAAGAAAGTTACATAACACCGCACAATCTGGGCTCTTTTTACAAGGCTGCAGGCCTGGCTGAAATACCCGGGCGTCAATAGGTTTTGTCTGTCGGACCAGAGTGGCACCAGACAGTAATTCGTGGGGGTATACACGTCCATTAATTGAAATGATGAATTTTTGAAGAATTTTGAAAACTGAAAATCTTGAAAAAGTCCTGATTATGTGCACTGCATTTTTCAAACCACCCAGCGACAAGTGGTTAATCTACTTTGAATGAACCCTTGCTAGGTTGCATTTGAAGATAAGTAAAACTGCAAATGGCCTGTTCATTTGACCAAGGGGTAAGGTTGCATCTCAAGTGTAGTTACTGTTTCTTCTGTAGTGAAACATGTCGATTTTGGCTATCTGAAAGCAGTTTCAAACAAAAACCGGTCAGCATTCTGCAGTGTGTTAAATGGCTCACTTGTGTAATTAACTTCTATGTACAGATTTTTTCTCACTTCATATTTCTCACTAATTTATATGAATGCCTGAGGGACAAATTATATCTGCATATCTTCTCCCTTCCATTCATCACTTGCTAAATTAACCTATCGATATGTTGTCTCTCCATTTCAAGGAGTAACTGCGATTCCACAGCAGCCAATACCCTTCGCCAGCACTACCACCGGCCGTACTTCCTGCCACCAGAGTCCGAATCCAGCAAGACTGACTGGATCTTCATGGGCAGCCCTGGCTATGGGGCGCACATGCATGTAAGGGGCGCATCCCATATCAGGTGACCATGGCTAGGAGTAATACACTTCTCTGTGAGAAGTGGCCACAGCCGCTGGCCAATGACTTCCCATAGGGGCACTTGTTATTGCCAGCCACAGTCATAACTTTCAGACAAAGCCAGAAAAAATGAACCAGTACAATAGCGTTGGAATGATTTTCAAAGTTGGAGGGAGGCAGTTGTGAGATTATCGGGTATCAGCCATAAATAGACCAATCCATTGGGCCCCACCCTATTATAGGACCTGCAAAAAGGGGGGGGATACCCCTCCGGTCAAAAGTATGGGGGGCCGTTGGCTCCCCTGCCCTCCCCCCTTCCGCCGCCAGTGAACTAGTATCCACTCTGTATAGGAATATGAGATGGTTCACTTTTATGTACATGTAGCAGGATATGATCCTTCAGTGGTAACTCACTGTGTGGGTGCACAGGTTCAAATATGTTTGCCGTGGCACTCGCTGTGCATGCACAACAAATTTCTGTTGACATACAGTCTTCAAGAGTGTGTACTGGGCGCCCAGATGAAAGAATCTTACCAACCTGTCTCTCTTTTGCCGATGAGGGAGTGCTTCAAGTTGGGGTGGATTGTGACTGTGTTTTTATCAGTTGCACATTGTTATAAGTTGCATATCTGCAGAACAGTAGTTTCTTTAGGAATCAAAACCAAATGTGGAGCATGTTTTAACTTCATGATTTCTTGCAAACTGCAACGTGAAAATACTCTCCATCCTGAAAATACATTCCTTCCGTTATTGGAATCCTTTATAAGTCGCCCGTGTTATACAGTAGAACCTCATTAATAAGAGGTCCTTCTGACTTCCCAGAGTATTTGTTTTAACAGGAACCTTGTATGATCACAAATTGAAACAATGATGAACAGGTGGATGAAAAATAAAAATTCCACATTATAAGCAGAATGTTGTGATAACAATGCTCTTATTAATGAGGTTTGACTATATAATGTCTTTTTTTTTAGATTTACTGTCATTTACCCTGTCTCCAAAGTGATACTAATTTATGACTGGTTATTGTCTTGAAGCACCAGTATCAATTTGTGCATGTCATTTTTATCATTTTGTGTCCCTGTGCTGACAAGACTATGCCGTCATTATTATAATTATTTCATCCTGTGTGTATTACAAGTCAATTACAAAGATAAAAAAAAATTACAACAAAGAAATTGACTGGAATGGGATTCAAACCTGCCATCTTTAAAACATCCCATTGGTGCTCTGGTAGCTGAGCCGCCCGGCCCTATGTTGTTGGTTCCCCATTAGTCAATACCTGTGTTCCGGTGTGCTAGTGGGAAGCCATGAAGCCTGTTCATCTGCACACCATATTGCCATTGGCTTGTTTCCTGGAAATGTGGTGTACAAGTTTCTTTGCTCAACTTTATAATGGGATGCTTGGTGATGGTAAACATACCAGTCCACATCACTGGTCCGCTGTTCTATGTGACCCAACCAAACGAAATCAGGAATGAGTCTCAAATTGACTTTTTGTTTGTACATGGTCAGAAGGAGAATTTCATAAGCTTTAAAGAGGTACATATTACAAGTATGTTGGTAGTACCTTTTAATACACTTCCAAAATATACAGAAACCACCACTTCGATTTTTTTCAACATTTTTACCCACATCCCCACTTTACTCGGCCATTGTGTAAAATGACCTCAGCGACATATTCCTGATTACAGTGTACCTGGTCACATGTGTCAGTTTGAGCTTGCACATAACCAAAGAATAGTGGAGTGGTCACATAGGGCCGGTATGTTTGCTGCCACCAAACATTTCATAAGGCTCCCATTACTATGTTAGCACCTCTTTGTTTTCCCTATTTGGTCTATCTTAAACCACAGATTGATGACGTGGAGCTACCATCTTGGCAAGCACAGGTCAAAGGTCACAAGAGGTGGACCTTGGAACCCCCACCAGAATGCTACTTGGAATGCCAAACTCTGGAAGTGGAGGTCCATCCCGGCGAAATCAGTAAGGTTTCTCTTACAATGCATAGATTTCTCTGTCTAGCTCAAGTCCCCGGGGGCTCAAGACCAGTCAAGAGATAAGGAACTCAAACTAATATAGAGTGCTGTCAACCACAGCAGTGTCCCACTCACACCAGTATTGCTGTGTGTGAGTATGGACTCCAGTGATGCTCACATTAAGGAAGTTTCTTTTGAAATTTTGCAGAAATGTTCAGAAATTTTGGAAGACGTACCTTGAGTACCACATAAGTTAAACAAATAGAGTAAGGATGGCTTAACAAGTTCAAAGAATAGTGAGGTACATGTAAATGGTTATAGCACAAGGGTAAATTTTTGATGGCACTGCTAAGCTTTTTTGTGTGCATGTCCTGTAATTACACAACTAAATCTGACATAAAGTTTGCATTAAATTGGAAGCTACCTGTCTCAGGATTTTATTGGTTTTTTTTCTTTGTGAAGCTCAAGGGATAGAGCGCTGGTATTCACATGTCAGAGTGAAAGTTCAACAGTGTCATTTGTTCTTAACCTCTGTCCAAATTTTCATGATTTAGTGATTTGGGGTGTTGCAGTTGAAGGAAATGTTCTTTTTACAAATGATCCATTCTCCCCAGAAACCTTTTCATGACCAATTCTACCCATTACATTCAAACAGGGGTGAGATTTGTCAGTATTTGTCCTGATTTCTTTTTTTGTCATCAGGATTCTTCCTGATTTCAGGATTTTTTTCAGCGAGATTTTCCTATTTTGGGGATTTATCAAACAGTCTCTTTCAAAATCTGGAAAATCCTGGTTTAGCAATATGGCGGTAACCAACAACGTTTGATTTAAATCAAATGATTTAAAGTATTGATTTAATTCATGATTTAAATTACTTTAAAAAAACTTTGTAAAAATCTTTTTAAAAATCATGTTAAAGAAACCTGAAATTCTTTTTGGGTATTTGAAAGGAAGAAATGGCTGAATTTAATGTACCGATGTCTTTAAAATATTTCCACACAACCAGAATGGGGTCGTTTTGTGTATAATGTTTCTCTTTACACTTACTCAACATTTACATGTACA